AGGGTCGTGGGAGTTGGAGTTTTTCCCCATTTCACAGGGGGGGAAACTGAGGCTGTAAGGATAAGCTAGTGAAAAGCCTGGGTAGAGTAAATGAGTGGCCCAGAGGGGCCTGAACCATGCCCCCCACCGCCCCCACCATTCATGGCCACAGGGGACCAAATTCTGCCACCAGGAGCCAGGAACTCAGAGGTCACAGCCATCCAGCACCAGCTTTGCTGCCTCTAGCTGGGATGGAAGGAGGGGATTCTCGGGGGATGTTTTGGTGCCCAGTAGGCTGAGGGGTGCCCTCCTCCCCGCCACCTGCCTACTTCAGCCGCAGCTTTGCGTCTTCATCTGAGAGTCAAAGCATATTGAAATCAGAGCCTCAACCATTACACATATGTTCTGGCGGCTGCCTACTCATGTTGGCCAACACCCTAGGAGGAAGCCCAGGAAGACCCTGACACCCAGGAGCCCCAAAGCTCAGAGGCCTCAATTATGACCTTGGGCCCCCAGCCTGAGGTTCAGCCTCCCAGAATCAGCACTGGGCAACTAGACCTGAATGGGGCCCCAGAGCCCACGTAAACCCAGCTGGAGCCCAGACACGGTGAGTGATTTGCCCAAAGTCACACAGCTAGTGAGTGACAGAATGGGACTAGCTGGAACAGAGCAGGAGACACAGGGAGCTGCATCTCCAAGGGACTAGGGCTTTGCCCCTCCCTAGGGTGGGTAAACAGCCAAGGGAACAGTGAAGGTGCTGGCGCCCAACCAGTGAGAGACCCACCGACCTCTACCAAGAGCTGCTACGAGGTCAACTCCATGTCTAAAGTAGGGAGAGAATTTAAAGGGAAAGAGGAGTCTGGAAAGCTCAGAGGAGGAACTGGGAAATCTCCTATTGGCCACAGCTTCTCTCTTCCCAGTTGATCACAGAATTTGAGGGTGGGACCCCACCTCTTTCCTTGGCTTGAATCCTCTCTCCAGCATCCCCACCAAGTGGTCCCTAACCATGTGCTTGCACACCCCCAGTGATGGGGAGCTCACTACTTCCCAGGCAATCAGTGCCATCTTTGGACCACTCTCATCGTCAGGACTTTTGGATTTCTGAGCCAACATCAGCCTCCCAGGAGCTTCCTGGGGCCATTAGATCACGGCTAACACTGCAAACAGGTCAAGACGTCCTGAGGGTAAACGGCCCCAGGCCCTCCTCTGTGTACTCCTCACCACCTGGGTGCTCCTCTCCCTCCACTGCTCAGAACAGAGAGTAATCCTTCAGGCAGGGGACAATGGGACTCAGCAGAGGGACACCACCACCTCCTTTGTTCCAGGGGCATCTCTGGCCTAGGCAGTTTGGCCATAGCTCATTCTTTTTTTTTTTTTGTGAGGACGATCGGCCCTGAGCTAACATCTGCCAATCCTCCTCTTTTTGCTGAGGAAGACTGGCCCTGGGCTAACATCCGTGCCCACCTTCCTCCACTTTATATGGGATGTCGCCACAGCATGGCTCGACAAGTGGTGCCTCGGTGCGTGCCTGGGATCCGAACTGGCAAACCCTGGGCCGCTGCAGCGGAACGAGCGCACTTAACCACTTGCACCACCGGGCCGGCTCCCATAGCTCATTCTTTTGAAACGTATTTTCATGGAAACTCCCAAGGCACGCTCAGAGACGTTGGTAACCCGCCAAGGTAGGTAGAGGTGAGAGACAGAGTCAAAGAAAGCGATAAATGATTCAGCCGGTGCACACTGTGTGTGAGTCCAAGGAGTCAGGGGTACTCTCGGGCCTCCTACCCTCAGATTTAGCCGGGGCTGAGGCTGATGGATTCAGCCACAAACTCCCCAGCAAACAGCTGAAGTGGGAGCCCCTGGCCCAACAGCCCTGCCAGCCCCTTTCTTGTAGGTCTTCCCAGATCTAACACCCTCTTCTAACCTCATTTCCCTTTCTCTTCCCTCCTCTTTCCAGGAGTATCAGGACCTGTCACTCAGAGCTTTTTAGTTCTCAAAATTGTTTCACATTCCCTGTGTCATCTGATCTCCACAACAATCTCGTGATTGTTGGTGGTAGGAGAGGGGTTATTTCCCCATTTCACAGGGTGGGAAACTGAGACTGTGAGGATAAGCTAGTGAAAAGGCTTGGTAGAGTAAATGAGTGGCCCAGGGGACTGAACCATGCCCCTCACCGCCCCCACCTTTTCACTCCTGGCTCAGGTACTTCCTACAAGGTGGGTCACCCACAAGCCCCTCAGATAAAAGGTTCAGGGCAGGGGCTGGCCCAGTGGCGCAAGCAGTTAAGTGCACGCGCTCCACTGCAGCAGCCGGCCCGGGGTTCACCGGTTCGGATCCTGGCATGCACTGATGCACTGCTTGACAAACCATGCTGTGGCGGCGTCCCATATAAAGTGGAGGAAGATGGGCATGGATGTTAGCCCAGGGCCAGTCTTCCTCAGCAAATAAAGAGGAGGATTGGCAGATGTTAGCACAGGGCTGATCTCCTCACCAAAAAAAAAAAAGGTTCAGGGCAGGTGTACCTGAATAATATACAACGCAAATGAGATGCAAAATAGCCCACCACACTGAGTCCCCTTTTGTGTAACTGAGCTAGAGCCTCAGACCCTCCCTTGTCTTAGTTCTGCCAATGCTTGGAGGATGAGGAAGAGCTGGGAACCTTCCTGCTTTCTCCCCACCCCACCCCAGTCACCAACCACGCTGGGTGCAGCCTGGAACAGCTTTCAGGAGCCAAGAAGATAATGTGAGGCCGGCCCTGTGGTGTAGTGGTTAAGTTCGCATGCTCCGCTTCGGCGGCCTTGGGGTTCGCAGGTTCAGATCCCGGGCGTGGACTGACGCACCACTTGTCAAGCCATGCTATGGCGGCGTCCCATATAAAGTAGAGGAAGATGTGCACGGATGTTAGCCCAGGGCTAATCTTCCTTACAAAAAATTAAAAAAAAAAAAAAAGATAATGTGGAAGATGGAGGGTGTTTAGAGATCGGGATGAGGATGAGGAGTAGTCAGTTCCCTTGCCATTTGAGGTAACCAAGCAGAGACCCCACTATAGATACCGAATATAGATGAGCTGGTTCCCACGACCCTGAGGTCCTCCGAGGAGGTACATACAGCTCATTAGCAGCAAGAAGTTCCGGGACCAGGGGCCCAGAAGCCCAAAGGTAGGGGCACAGTCAGGCAATGGCAGAGTTGGAACCATATCTCAGGGGTCCAGCTTCCCAATCCAGCACGCTGCAACTGATTGTCGTATGACCTGGACAAGTCCATTCCCTCCCTGGCCCTCAGTTTCCCCAGCTCTGTAATGAGGGGCTGGGCTAGCTGCTCCAAGCCCCCAAGGGCTGACAATCTTGGATTCCGCAACATCACGGAAGGGTAGAGCCAGAGGATCTTTAAGCTTGGAACAAGAAGGGAGTCCTGAGTTCCCTAACTCCAAGTTCCTCGAAGCTTCTCTCTGTATAGTCCTAAGCTCTCAGGGTTAACTGTCCACCCAGGAACAGGAGCCCTTACCCTCAAGGCTTGGGCACAATTGCTCCCTTGATTTGCAAGTCCTCTGCCTGGCCACCGTAGACACGATGACCACGCCATGGCCACAGCAGCCAGGCTCAAGTGTGCAGGGAAAGGATATATACTCATAGGCCAAAGGGGCCACCTCTGGACTCTGGTGACAAGTGACCAGTCCAGGCTGGATGACAGACGGGGTTTCTGTGGGGCTGGGCAAGAGGGGAAGCTGCAGAGAAGTTATACCATCTCGGATTAACCCTTTAGTGACCCAGAGAAAAAGATCACCCCCCAAAAATAGAGATCCCCAAAGATACTTTTTTACAGATACTCCATTGCCCCAAGTTTCAAAAATCCATGTAACCCCCTCAGCCCATCCCAAACACGGCCTAAGAGCAGGGCTCCTGACTGTATATACACACTTATGTACACACATGCACACGCACCCACACAAGCACACACCCATGGAAAACACACACTGAGCATACACACACCAGGCACATATGTACAAATACTTGAAATGGGAAAAAGATTTAGAGGTTGGGATTCAGAGGCCCTGGATTTGAGACCAGCCTATCCAGGTATCCACTGGATGACTACAGACAAGCCCCTTTAATCTGAGCCCATCTGTAAAATGGAGACACACCACCACTTGCCTCCCAGAGCTGCAATGAAGATCAAGGGAGCTGCTGTGAATAGGTTTTGAAAGCTGTAAGAAAGCTCTCGGGCTGTCTACACTTAGTGCACCTGAAGTGTGCGGGGAACTGGGGTCAGCAGTCTGAAAAGCATCCTGATGTCTTAGAAAGAGATTTGGTGTGTGAGTCAAAAGGCCTGCTTTTCTAGTCCAGCTTTGCTTTCTTCCAACTGGTGATTTGAGCAATTCTTTTCCTTTTTCTGGACCTCCCTTCCCTCATCTGTAACAAAAGCAAGTTCAACCAGGGAATCCTGATATCCTGCACCTGTAAGGGCCTGTTGCCAGAGTGAGGTCTGCCTCTCCCTCCTGAGGCCAGGGCAGTGAGGATCGCCTGCTCTCCAGTGGCTCTTGCCAGGAGAAAAAAGGGTGGCAAGGACCGTTTTCAAGAAGGGCAGAGCCCAGCGGGGACCAGCCTCCCAAAGTAACAGGTTGAACAGGAGCTCTGGATGCCCTGGGCCCCCGGGGCTGGTGGGGGGTTGCACAACTGAGCCCTAGTCCATGGCGCAGGCGCTGAAGTGTCATCAGGAACGTAGCTAATGGGGAAATGCCCCTTCAGCACCCTGCGAGTCAGCCCCAGAGAGGGACTGGGGCGAGGCGGCAAGTGGGGGCACCTTCGATTTCGGGATGCCACCCATTGCGCCCTCGAGGAGTCTTGTGCCTCGCCTTCCCTGGCTCCTCCATGCAGCCGGGAGGGCAGGGCAGGTCCCGGACGCCGCGAGGGACCGGCTCTGGGTGGCGCGCCAGAACCCCTCCTGGCGTCGCATCGCCCCCTCCCCGCGGCCGTCTCAGGGGCTCACCGGTGCGCGCCCACGGTCCCGGGACACCTCCTTACCCAGAACTTGGAGCCGAGCTCCCCGGAGCCGCACAGGGCGTCCATGGGGCCGAAGCGCCGCGGCGAGGAAGGCAGGCGCGGTCGCCTACCCAGCCCGGGACAGAGCCGAGCAGCGCCGGGAGCCGCCTCCGCGCCCCGCGCTCCGCCCCGGCCCCGCCCCGCCGAATCCTACTCCCAGGGCCTTTGGGATGAATTCTCGCCTCCCCGCGAACTGCGACAGCGCCTCCCTGAAACGGCAGCTCCGGGAGGGACTTAGGGACAAGGGTGGGGGACACTGACACAGTGACATCCCCTTCGAGTGGCCACTGGGCCGCGCAGGAGAGATATCCCTTCAGATACTGAGGCTGATAGGCCTGGAGCAGGGTCTGTTTCCGAGGGGCACATACCCGCTTCCACCGGAGACATGGAAAGGGACTTAGCAAGACTCTCTCCGTGAATAAATCCTTGATAGGGTCCCGTTCATCTCTGGACCTCAGTATCTTCATCTGTGAAATGGGCACAACTTGTGTGCCCAGACAATCCGGAAGGCTACCTCTGCCCGGAAAGTTGCTGGAGAACCGGCAGACACAAACACATAATGTGCACGTGTGTGCTTGTGTACCCAGGAGAGGGGGCTGGAAGGGGGGCTCAGCATCCAGCATCCAGATGGTGGCTTCCGGTGATTCTCTTAAACTGCTGCCTTCCTGAGGTCCTGTGGCTCCCTGATCTTGTGCACGTTGCTTCAGTGCCACTCTGTGCCTCCACTTTCACGTCTGTAAAACGGGGATAATCATAGGACCTATCTCATAGGGTTACTCTGAAGATTTAATGGGAAAGATATGTAAAGCATCAAGCATATTCCCTGGCACACTTAGTAGGCACCCAACATGTGTTAATTTCCTCCACTTCAGCCTGGTCAGGGTGAGGGGTGGGCAGGGGAGGCCCCAGGAGGAGCCCCACATTCGCACCCTCTTCCTGAGGCTGAGTCTCCACATTCCCCATCTGTAAAATGGGTTTGGGGTCAGTGGCCTCCTTCTCCTGCTTCCGCGGCTTGGCCATCCTGGGATCCACCTTCTCACCCCCTCCGCAGCTTTCCTCCTGGCCCATGTCTCCCCTGCCCTCACCTCCCCAATGTTGTCCCTGTCTGCGGGGTCTGCCCAGGCTCACCCTGGGAAGGAAGGCACTTGTTCTCAAGAAAAGGTGTTTTCTTCCTTGGCTGCTCAGCAGCAGGCATGGGTGGGCGCCAGCAAGATTGCACAGAAGCAGCCAGCCACTGCCTGTCCCTCTGGGCAGGCAGGAAGTCACCGGAAGGAAGTCTCTTTAGCCATGGGCTAGCAGAACAAAGATGTGAGCCAGCACGGGGTGGGGCGTGGGAGCAGGGTGGACAAGGCTCCCCCTTCCCAGGCTGTGGGACCAGGGGCCTCTCCGCCTCCACGGGGCAAGTCCTCTCAGCCCTTCGTCTGTCCCCACCCCCTCCACTCACTCGGTCACACCCCCACCCCCCAACTCTGAGCCAAAGACCTTACCGAGCTTTCACCTCTCCTCACAGCGCACCTTCAGCTATGTTTAGTTGTGAAGAGTCTGTCTTGCCCACCCGTCTCAGAGGTCCCTGACAGCAGGGATGGACTGGGTCACCTCCAGTCCCCATCCATACCTTGGGCAGTACGTTCTGTGTACTGTGTGACCTCAACAAGCCCCTTGATGTCTCTGGGAGTCAGTTTCTTCAGAGCAGCTCGGGCAAGAAGCCATCTAAGGTCTCTTCCAGCCCCAGTGTTCTAGGCTTCTATGGTCAACAGTGGGGAATCCCCTCCAAACCATCCTCTAGTTCGGGGCCGGGACCCTTGGCTTCTGTCTTCAGCACTGAGGCTGAAGCGCCATCCCCTTTGGCCTCAGCCTTCTCACTTTGCCATTGGAGAGCCCTTCCCAAGTCTGCGGCCCTAGGTGGGAGCCTCCGAGGTCATGGTGGGAGACCTTGACAATCCTTGCCTCCTCTCGTCTCTCTTGAGACATTCATTGGGGGTTCGCCCTTCCTGGTCCCTTATGGAATGTGGCCCCTTTCTCACAGCCCTTGACAATAACCACAATGTTCCTAGGACATTAGAGTTTGGGTTGTTCTCACCAGAGCAAAAAAACTGAGGCCCTGAGACACCATATCCTGGCAGAGGCAAGATGAGCTCCAAATCTTCTGAATGCCGGGCTGCTTCCATGCAGCCTCCTTGGGCAGGATGCGTTTCCTGTATCCTTACCCATTGCACTCAGTGCCCCCTGGGCCACCTTCAAGGTTGCTTGCAGACTCTCTGCTCTATGCCTCGCTTCCCTTTCTTTTTTTTTTTAAAGATTTTTATTTATTTATTTTTCCCCCCAAAGCCCCAGTAGATAGTTGTATGTCATAGTTGCACATCCTTCTAGTTGCTGTATGTGGGACGCGGCCTCACCACAGCCGGAGAAGTGGTGCGTCGGTGCGCGCCAGCAGAGGAGCGCGCGCACTTAACCGCTAAACCATGGGGCCGGCCCTCGCTTCCCTTTCTGCACCTGGCAAACTACTCATCCTTGAAGATTTCGCTCAAGCCCCACCCACCTTGAAGACTTTCTTGAACCTCCCCACCCCAATCCTGGGCTAGGGACACTTCCTCTGCACAGCCTTCCTTGCCCCTGATGTATTGTATTCACTGATTATCTGCTTACCTCCCCCAGACAACAGTGGACACCTTAAGGCTAAGGACCAAGTCTTGTTTATCGCTGTATCCTCAGCACCCAGGACAGAGCCTGGCAAAGCTGGTCCTCGGGAAATGTTTGTTGACTGACTGAATAAGTATCTCCTGTCCTCAGGAGAGGTCATAAGTAGCAAGGCCACTGTGGCATGAGGTACAGTCCTAGCACTGGGCACTGTCCACTCTGCTTTTGAGTTTCAGAACCAAGATGTTTCCAGCTGGAGGCTCCTAAGAGAAGCAGTAAAGACCTGTGGGTTGGGCTGCAGCAGAGAGAGGAACGGAACCTCCCCCAGCTTCAGTGGCCCTAACCCCATCCTCCCTCCCCAGCTGACTGCAGCTCCAGGCAGGATGGACAGAGCATGTGCTGTGCCTCCCCCGCCAGTGAGCACCCCAGGGGAACCCAGCATCAGGGATTTCCTTGCAGGGATATGGAAAGATAAGATAATTGCAAGGTACAGCTCCAAGCAGGAATGACTGCAGAGAGAAGAAAGCAGAGCAAAAGAGGGATGGGGAGACCCAGGGCCAGGAAATGCTGCAAACAGGGAGAGTCAGGTGGGAGCTGACCAGACGGAGGGAGCGGCATGGAAAAGCAAAGGCAGGCTGCGGATTCTCCCCTCCACTCACTGCCTGATCCCTTTTAGCCCCTTGTGGCTCCTTGAAGGCCCAGAACACCCCCAAACCAGCCTCCAGCTCCCAAACTCCAGCCTCCCCATTCTCTCCTCCCATATAGTGGGGCGGGACCCGTTTCCTCCAGACTCCAGCCCCGTGGGGGCTACACTGGCTGCACTCCACCCCTGGCCTCAGCAAGGCTGCCCCTCCACCCCAATTTGCACGTGGTCTGATTTAGCATGCATGTGAGCACTGGCTGCTGTGCCTGATTCAGGAGTTTTCAAAGCAAGAATTAATTAGCTCCACGAGCCACAGTCAGCAATTCCCACACCTGGACCAGGGGTAAGATACACAGAATTCCAAGTTCCCTCCTGGGCATTCGCAGGAGCCGCCACCTCCTTGACCTACCTTGCCGTGCCCTCCGAGCAGGGCGCCAGCCCACAGCTAAACTCACTTTTTTAATTTTTAAAAAAAAATTTTTATAACAGTGTTTCAAAGAGCAAATAAATTATCAATTATTATTTTTAATTGTATGTGCAACTGTGTAGTGTTTGAGAAATCTTTGCCCATAAGCGAGATACGGTTTTTGCTATGTTTTCTTCTAGAAATGGTACAGTTACAATATATATATATATTTTTTATGGTGAGGAAGATTGGCCCTGAGCTAACATCTGTGCCAATCTTCCTCTATTTTGTATGGGGGATGCTGCAAAAGCATGGCTTGATGAGTGGTGTGTAGGTCCATGCCCAGGATCCGAAGCCACGAACCCTGGACCACAAAAGCAGAGCATGTGAACTTAAACACTACGCCACTGGGCCAGCCCCTAAACTCGTTTTTGAGAGTTATTTCCCTTCCTGGCAACCTGTCCTGGATTAGTCCTGGGTGTGCTGGCCTTAGGCAGGGATCACGGGGAACCATGGGCTCAGCACTCTGATGGCCGATTCCCCACGTACAGACAGGTCCTTCGTTGGGCCCTGCGAGCCTGTTTCCTCCTTTGAGGGGCTATACAGAGCACCTGTCCGTAGGTGTCCATCGGTGTCGATGTCCTCTCCCTGGCTAGGCTCCTCTCAGAGGGGGCACTGGAGTGGAGCCAGGTGAAGGTGCCTTGTACTGCCACATGGTGTCTGATGACCTCACTGCTCTGCTGTCACAGCCCCCCAGGCCAGGCTGCTCAGCTGGCCCAGGAAAGGGGAGAGGAGGCCATGGGGCACCAGGCTGTGATGGGTGGGGACCAGGGATGACGATGTAGGTGAAGGCTGTTTGGAAAGTGGGAGAGGTCTGGGTGGGGCAAGGGGAGAGGACAGGAAGAGACAAAGAGGTGGGAGGAGGAGCAGGAGAGCAGGTGCTGCGGGGTCCAAGGGCAGCCTCATGCCGGGGAAAGTAGTGCCTGGGAAACTGGGTGATTGCAGAGCCAGCCCTGGCCAGCCCTTGGACAAGCCCCTAGAGCTGAGGGACGCCTTCTCTTGTGCTTGAATCTCTCTCCCTACACAAGGTGGAGGGCTGTGGGCTTCTTTAAGCTGCTGAGTACACCAAGCTGGGAGCTTGAGTGTACATTTCTATGAACACAAATGTGACTGCTTTGGAAAAGGCCTCCCTTGCAAGTCATTTTGTGATCAGGATTCCTGGCACCATGTCCCATTCCCTCCACAACGAGAAGAGCCTGGGGTAGTGTGAAGCCAATGGGCTGGAAGTTGGCCAGACCTAGGATCAAATCCTAACTCTGCCTTTCCCTGGCTGTGTGATCTTCGGCAAGTCACTTAACCTCTCTGAATCCAT